TTACCCCGACAACCGGGATTTTGTGCAAGAAAGTAGCATGAAAACCTTCTTAGATAATTGTAGCCAGGAGAACGAGTTTCGTTTTGCGGTGAAACGAATTAGACCTAAAACTTTGCAGGAGGCTGTTACAGCGGCAATGCAAGAAGAGTGCATTCGCCTGGGAGAGAATAACAGAAATGAGAATGCCAGATTCAATAGACGAGCTGTATATGCTGTCAACGAACCCTTTGAGTTATTGGACACCAATTCCAAGAAAAAGTGTAATGAGCGGCCAAAGCAAAATTACCAGGACAAACGTCAGAAGAAGAGATGTTTCACTTGCGATTCAGCAGATCATCTTTCATTCAATTGTCCAAGAAAAAGAGAGGATAATAAAGCCCGTTTTAGATCAACTCGAAATCAAGATAGTAGGCGTACGTTAAACCGCCTAGGACCGAGGCAGTAGGCCGTGCGCCGGTCGAATATCCTGAAAGGCCTAGTACATAAATGAATTGTGATCTCTCCTTCGATTTGGCAGTGGAAGTTTCTAAAAGAGCGCAAGAGAAACACAGCAGTGTTATTCAGGCGAAAGATTCTGGAGAATTGCAGCTCAACAACACTGGCCAAGTTTCCAGGTCAACGAGTGTATCTAGTAATTCCATTTGTGTTGATAATGTTAGTATTGCGAAGTTGGAAGTTGTTAATGAGATACGGATTCCAGGAAAATGTGGCTTTCATATAGAAGGATTAATTCAGGGAACAAATGTGATTTGGAAAGTAGATACAGGTGCGAGAAGATCTTTTATAACAGAGGAAACCTATTACAGTATTTTTCCGGAAAATAGGCCCGTACTAGAACGAGTAAGGACAAAATTCCTAGCAGCCGACGGACAAACAATTAAAACCATAGGAACCGCTAAAATGATTTTAACACTAGGAAAAGTAGACATAGAACAGCGAATATTTGTAGGTGGAGTAAAAAGAAATTTGTTTGGAGAGGACTTCTATGTGAGATACAAATGTGTCTGGGATCATGACACCAATGAACTCTTAATGAGTTGTGACAATGGAACTGGGAAACGAACTAATTATATCTGTTGTACAGAGACCGTAGAAATTCCAGAAAATCACGAAGCTATAATACCATCAAAGCTTACATATGTTGAACAAATAAACGGATTACCACTACCAGTTCAAAGTTTCGTACAATCGCACAAAGTAGCTGTCGCAAAATCGCTACTGAATGCAGAAACATGTTATGTGTTTTTACGTGTTTTTAATTCCGGAGAAAAACCAATTACGATCAAGAGGGGTACATTAATGGCATTATTCATACCAGTAGAGTATGTGAGTGAACCAATTGATATCTGTAATGATGGAATTAGCGCTGTTAATGAGGAAAACAGTGAGCTACCGCAACATTTAAAGGCCGTCTATGAAGACGGGTGTGATCATTTGACTGAGGAGGAGTCCAAGAAGTTCAAGGAATTCCTTATTCGGAGAAACCGTGTGTTTGCTAACCTAGAGAGTAAAATGGAACGGGTTGCAATTGGAGAGCATCGTATTAAGCTAATGGACGAGGAGCCATTCAAAGAAGCACCGAGACGAGTGCCAGTTTTCAAAAGAGAAATTTTAGATGCTGAAATACAAAAATTAGAGAAGCAGGGCCTGGTAGAAAAGTCAAATAGTCCATGGTCCTCGCAACTAGTCTTAGTTAAGAAGAAAGATGGAAGCTGGCGTGTATGTGTGGATTACCGCCGTCTTAATGCAATAACGATCAAAGATGCCTACCCCATTCCCAGAATAGAGGATGATCTGGATGCCCTCGCGGGATCTAAATGGTTTTCAACACTGGATTTAAATATGGCTTATCATCAAGTACCCATGGCAAAGCAGGATAAACAGAAAACGGCTTTTGCAACACCCAGAGGGGGATTGTTTCAATACACTGTCATGCCGTTCGGTTTATGCAATGCACCAGCCACATTCCAAAGAATCATAGAAAAGACTTTGAGTGGATTACAGTGGAAAGTAGCTGTGTTATACCTAGATGACATTGTAGTATACGGAAGGAATTTTGAGGAACATATAGCTAATCTTGAACAAGTTTTTGATCGACTGGCAAAAATGAACTTAAAAGTAAAAGCTAAAAAGTGTTCGTTTTTCAAACCGGAAGTGAAATTCCTGGGTCATGTCGTATCAGCGAACGGAATAAAAACGGATCCTGTAAAAACAGAGGCAATTAAAAATGCTGCAAGACCAACAAATGTGAGCGAGTTACGAAGTTTTCTAGGGTTGGTGTCCTATTATAGGAAATTCATCAAAGATTTTGCAAAAATAGCAAGGTGCTTACATGCACTAACAAACAAAGAAACAAAATGGGAATGGACAGACGAATGTGATCATGCCTTTCATACACTGAAAGAAAAACTTGTGAGTGCTCCGATTCTTGGATATCCAGATCCAACTGCTGGTCAATTTATCCTTGATACCGACGCAAGTAATAGTGCTATTGGCTGCGTGTTATCTCAAATTCAGGAACACAGTGAAAAAGTAATAGCTTACGGAAGTCGTGCGTTGACTACAGCAGAAAGAAATTATTGTGTTACGCGTAAAGAAATGCGTGCAGTAGTCTTTTTCATGAAATACTTTAAACATTACCTGTTGGGAAAAGAATTCGGGTTACGCACAGACCATGGATCTCTCACTTGGTTACACAGATTCAAAGAGCCAGACGGACAGATATGCCGATGGCTACAGCAAATAGGACCGTTCAATTTTAAAATTGTTCATCGTTCAGGAAAGCGACATTCTAATGCAGACGGCTTATCTAGAATCACTGTAACTTCAGATGAAACTGTGCAGACAATGCAAAAGAAAATTAGACGACGAATATAACGGAGTCCCAGAAAGTCACATTAATGATTTGCGTAAAACCCAGTGCGAGACAGATTTGTGTATTGACCAGGCTATATGTGATATTCATCATTTGTTTACCACAAGTGAAGGTGACAACAATCAGCCAACAGGAAAAGGACGGACAGAAAATAGACCCAGACGAGCTAAGCCGCAACCTGAGCCCGATGTTGATTTAACATACTCTGGACTTAGAAAAAGTCAGATTGAGGATAAGGTAATCGGATTTATTCTTAGTTGGATTGAAAAATATGGGAATAAGGACAAGCCAAAATTTGACGCTTTATTTCATATGCATCCTGAAAGTCGATTTTGGTATGGACGATGGGAGTTACTTACCATACATGAGGGAGTACTGTGTATCAAGTGGATAAAGGGTGATACAATACGATTGCGGATCTGTACACCGAAGACATTGAGAAATGCTTTGTTGTGGCACTTTCATGATTCGCCTATTTCTGGACATCAGGGAATTCTTAGAACCAAGAAAAGAGCGGATTTGAGTTCATATTATTGGCCTAATTTTCATCGTGATATAGGCGACTATGTCAAATCATGTCATATCTGTGAGGAAAAGAAAAATCCACAGAAAAAGAAGAGACATTTCATGAAAAGTTATATAGCGGGTGGACGATTTGAGAGAATAGCAGCTGATCTAGCAGGACCATTCCCCAAGTCTGAACACGGAAATATGTATATATTAGTAGTAGCGGATTATTTTTCAAAATACACAGAAATTTATCCAATACCTAATATGGAGCCGAAACAGTAGCGGACGCTATATTTCGGGGATGGATAAAAAGGTACGGATGTCCGTTAGAAATTCATACGGATCAGGGTAGTCAATTCGAGAGCCAATTATTTTCACAGCTCTGTGAAATAATGTGTATCTCAAAAGCTCGAAAAACAGCTTTTCATCCAAGATCAGACGGGATGGTAGAAAGACTTAATCGGACAATCAAAGAAATGCTATCTAAGTTCGTGAACTTACCACAAACAAATTGGGATAAATACATAGATGCTGTAAGCATGGCGTACAACACTTCAGTACACGAGACTACAGGAATTACGCCATACCGTATGATATTTGGAAGTGAAATGACAATTCCAGTGTCTGTGTTATGTGATTTTACTGATTTTCAAAATGAGGATATAATGTTATACGGATTATGTGACAAAGTTGTGTGAAAGTCTGGAAAAAGCTCATGATTTGGCCAGAGAGACAACCCTATCTTCAATAGCAACGCAAAGAAAACAGTATAACAAGAACATTATAGAAAAGAATTATGAAGTGGGTGACGTGGTACGACTTTACCAACCTAAACAGAAGAAAGGCACAAAACTGAAACTATCCCGAAATTGGACTGGTCCTTGGGTTGTGCTGAAACGCCTAAGTAACATCCTGTTCCAAATTCAGCATTCGAGGATGTCAAAACCAAAGATTGTGCATGCGGATAACTTAAAGCCATTTCGCACAAGGAAAACAATACAACGTAATTTAGAGACATTAGTAAAGCAAACTCTGAAAAACAGCAAAGATCAAATTATTGAGGAGCCTGATATTACCCCTGTCCCAAAGCAAACAGATTGTAGTGCAAAGGACTCCGAGAAATTACTAGAACCCCAAAGACGAAGTTCAAAGGACGCCGCCGACAGTGACCGCGATGCAGCTGGGGAGGACCGCGACAGTAGCCAGACAAGAAATACCCGAACTCCAGACAGACCCTCGATGCGGACCAGAGCCGGGCGCCTTATAAAAGTGCCGCGTAGACTCAGAGACTGATCATACCCTATTCGGATGTTTGACAGTACAGATGATTTGTGAAACTTGTGGACTAGTACTTAAGAATAGAAAAACGCTTCAACAACATATAAAAGAAATTCATAGCGAACGTGTAAATATATTTCACTGTGATTTTTGTGGAAGACCATTTTCCAGAAAATTTAATCTAAAGAAACATTGAACCGTGTGCACGGAAAACTTGAACTAACGATGGCGAGTAGTAAACAATTAACTAGAGAAGATTTAAAGAAAAATCAAAAAAGCAGTCTACGTTCCTTTGTATGAAGATATTTCATCTGACGAGGAGTCATTTGATGTCAAAATGAATGTCCAACAACAGCCGATGTATGTACCAGAACTTGAGGACATTTCATCAGATGAAGAGACAATTGAAGAGCAGCCGAAAGAAGCAAACGAAGAAAGATTGGAAATATTAAGTGTAAATTCGGACCTCATGGAGGAATTGCTGGCGGAAAACGGATTACGTAATGACTTTGTGGACGATTTATTACGCGAGGACACACCAGATGTTGAAGAAAGTGAAAGTGAGAACGAACATTCCATAAACAATAGCGAACGTAGTGGTAGTGCCGCGGATGTTCATCCAGTGACCATTACACATTCAATTGGAATATCGTTAACGCGAACAACTACTGTTATGCCGAACGGGAATACTGAAGTCGAAAGACAAACCAATGTGTGTCTTAGCGAAAATATCGATCCAAGTGACGTTGACATGGACACTCTCATTCGGGACATTTTAAGTGAGATTCCATTCATTTCCGTAATCAGAGAGACAGGAACGTGTATGGAGATTTTTCTGAGTGACTTTTGACCTTTTTAATACTTGAACTTTTAACAGTTAAAGATAATGTAAATTCTTATTTTCTTGACTCTTGTATGTGAATATTTATTTTGTTGTATACTTGTATATTAATTGCTTTGAATTCAGTAATTTTATTTTGAACGGGGTCAAAATCTTAGCCGGGGGGAGTTGTAAAGGGGAAAAATATTTGTATAGACCTTATTAGGCGTCCTTTCTATTTTTAAAAAAGTATCCCATAATGCCTTGCGCGTGGGCATGCGCACTACAGCGTAGGGCAAGGTCGCTTACCTTTCAACAATAGCGTTTACCTGTAAAACCGCCATATTGATTGTTTACGTACATGACAGTGATTTTTGAACAAGTGATGGTGTTTTATGCTTGAATCCCAGTGCAATGCCGGCTCATTGTTGTGCATTTGGTTGTAAAAGTAGACAAACGGCTGGTGTAAATTTTAAGTTCTTTCGTATACCAAAGGATGAACACCTGAGAGTTAAGTGGGTTTCGGCCATTAAGCGGGAAGATTGGGAGCCCTCCGACCATTCCCGAATTTGCTCCAAGCATTTCATAAGCGGAATGTAAAGTGAGATACGATGACATTAAAATGAAAACTAGTATTAATTGTAACGGGGACCGTTACAGATGTTCCCCAAACGCTCCCCAACTTCCTTTTGGTGTCTTATTCCCTGTAAGCTTCATTAAATAAGGCAATCAAGTATATTGGTTTTTTTTTACGCATTACATGCGCGCGCACAGGCATGCATGTACAAAATGACCATGTCAACTTGTCTACACTTTCAATACATCTTTATATTCAAATTTCATTAAAAGATAAAAAAAATCGGCTATATTAAGTATATCTGTCATTTTTCGCATTGCACGCGCGCGCACGTGCATGCATGTCCAAGATGACCGTGTCATCTTGTCAACACTATTAATATATCTACATATTTTGGGTATCAAATCATTTCATCAAAAAGTATAAAAGTTACAGCTATATCAAGTATATTGGTCATTTTACTCATTGCACGCGCACGCACGTGCATGCAAATGCATGCATGTGCGCGCTGATCATGTCATCTTGTCTACACTTCTAATATATATTTATATTCTGAGTTTCAAAGCAATTCATCAAAAAATATACAAGTTAAGTCTATATCATTTGTATAGGTTATTTCAATCATTGCGCATGCGCACACGTGCATGAATGTGCATTCTGACCATGTCATCTTGTCTACACTATTGATATATCCTGATATCCTGAGTATCAAAGCATTTCATCAAAAGATATGAAAGTTATGGCTATATCAAGTATATTTGTCATTTTACTCATTGCACGTGCACGCACGTGCATGCATGTGTGCACTAATCAAGTCCTCTTGTCTACACTTCTAATATATATTTATATTCTGAGTGTCAAAGCAATTCATCAAAAAATGTACAAGTTAAGTCTATATCAATTGTATTAGTTTTTTTAATCAATGCGCATGCGCGCACGTGCATGCATGTGCATTCTGACCATGTCATCTTGTCTACACTATTAATATATCCTTATATTCTGAGTATCAAAGTATTTCATCAAAAGATATGAAAGTTATGGCTATTTCAAGTATATTTGTCATTTTACTCATTGCACGCGCACGCACGTGCATGCACGTGCGCGCAAAATGACCTTCGTTCCGCAAATCTACATAACATTCCTATTAACCCTAAAAAGGTTTCAACTCAATCGGATGTATAGTTTCGGAGATCACTCACGGACAAAAAAGTACCCAGGAAGAAAAATAATAATAATAAGAAGAAGAAGAAACAGAGTAAAAACAATATGTTCCCAAACTTCGTTTGGGGAACATAATTATAATTTGTAAGATTTATCTTCACTATTCAACCATTACAATATTCATTGATAAAAAGTAACTGCACCCATAAATGACTGCTTAAACGACTACAGAAGTCTTTAAGAGAGATACTTCTGACCAGTTGTGAAAAGGAACAAAAGTGCCATTTAGTTCAACAAGAGTAAATTTATAAGAGAACGATGCTGGCTTGTGTATTTCGATGCTATTAACAGATTAATCAATTCTGTAATATTCTTTCCAGGCCGAGTATTGTTATTTCAGATATTTGTGCATGACATAGGCCCAAAAAAAATCTTTTTAAAATTGTAAGTTATGTCCTGATAAAGCTTTTTTATTATTTTTACTTCATGTGTTTAAATAATTTGTAGGACAGCCTTCCAGAGAGCCAACAAACCCAGATTATGTGCCCTCCATATTTTGCCATCGACCCATCCATGAGGGCGTACTCCAGGAGAAAGTTCAGCGACACCAAAGGCTTGTGGAGAGGAAGGAGAATAAAGCCAGGAATGAGTCTGCCCAGGCCCTCCTTACTCTGAGCAAGGAAGATCCTCCTGTGTGTGTGATGGGGACCTCAACACAGACACCTGTGGTACATCTGAGTGATTCAGAAGTGCAGACTGATATAACACTTCCAGTGATGACAAGCCTCATAATTACAAACCAGTATTTGAAAAGTGTGTGTGACGATAATGCAAAGACAATCAAGGAACTGAAACAAGACCAGGAAAATGTTCAAGACATCTGTTGTGAACAGGAAGAAGAGCTAAAAGCCCTGAAAGCCAAACTTCAGCACCAAGAGGAAGAGAATAGACTGTTAATGGAAGAGATAAACAAAAAGACCATAAGTTTCAAGAACATTAAGTGTGATGACAGGAAAACAAAGTTTTATACAGGATTTCCAAACTTCAGTACCCTAAATGCAGTGTTCCAAGAAACCTCATCGAAAGTGAACTGAAAGAGAACTAAACTTCCAAAAGAGGATGAACTTCTCCTGACTCTTGTTAAATTACGAAGGAACCTTGCCATGACGGACTTAGCCTACCGGTTCAACATAAGCCAGTCATCAGTGACCAACATATTTCATGCATGGTTAGATGCCCTTTATTCTACTTTGGGAGGTCTTGTGCGTTGGCCAGAAACGGATGTGTGTCAGTTACCCGAAGTCTTTCAGAATGAAGTATTCAGGAGGGTCAAGTTTGTGATTGATTGTACGGAGATATTTATTGACAGGCCGTCAAATTTAAAGGCAAGAGCACAGACCTACTCTAACTACAAGAGGCACAACACCATTAAGATTCTCGTGGGTGTGAGTCCTACAGGTTGTGTGACTTTCCTGTCTACATGTTGGGGAGGACGAGTAAGTGACAGACAAATCACATGTGAATCCGGGCTTCTTGACAAACTCTTACCAGGAGATGTTGTACTAGCTGATAGAGGCTTTAACATGACAGAGGATTTTGCCTTTAAAGGAGCCCAGCTTATAGTGCCTGCTTACACTAAAGGGAAAAGCCAGCTACCAAAAGAGGATGTCAAGAAGTCTCGCATGATGTCGAGAGCTCGGATCCACATTGAGCGTGTCATTGGGAGGATGAAGGACTTCGAGATCATCAAAGGCCCATTACCTATAAATCTAGTCAAGAGGAAGTCAGACTCTCGCATTACAGCCGGGGACAAGATAGTGCGTGTTGTAGCTGCCATTGTCAACACCAATGATGCCATTTTGTGAATTGTGACTTATTTTGTTCTAGGTCTATGAATCTTGAGATTATAATGTCAAAAGTACTGTAAAATTCATTTAAAATGTCAAGGTGTATTAGATCCCCATGAACTAACCATCTGAGCATGATATATCAGTAAAATTCAATGGCAAGTTTTTATGTTATATATTTCCATTGAAGTTGTATTGTGATTGCACCAATTTAATGAATGTACCTATTAAAATAATATCAATAAAATCATGTCAAAAATTTAGATCTGAAACATTTTTTAGCAATCTATGGGACTGGTTCAAAGGATCTGGGCCTGTTTTACAAAAGAACTTAGGACTAAGACCAAAAACTTTCGTTAATTGTAAAATTTTGCAAAATCAATGATTCTCTTTAAAATTTCTATCATAAAAATATCATGTTAAATTCATTTTTAAAAGATTAAAACCATTGTCACATCAATTTAAATTAGAAAGTAATAAGCAGAATTAAATTTTGGTCTTAGTCGTTAGTTCTTTTTTTAAAATGGACCCCTGATTTTAATGAAAATGTAAGAATATAATTCAAAAAATCACTTGAACAGATTGGATTTCCTCTTCTTTTTTTTTTTTTTTTTAACAAGAATTATATCATGAACAAGAAATAAATTAAAATCTATGTTTGTTTAAAATTCTTTAATGCAAGTTTTATGGTAGCATAGTAAACAAGATAACAATGGAAACGAAAGCATTGTCACAACTTTTAGCAAAAAAATGACATATCAATATATCATCATATTGAATGTTCATGAGTAAAGTTTGGTGGATAATGGAAACAAAAGCACTGTCACAACTTCATCAGAACTGAACAAATTATCATCATATTGAATGTTCATGTTCATGTTCATTAAGTAAAGTTTGGTCACTGTCTGTTTTTCTTGGTTGGGGGCATCTTTCTGCAAGGTAGGCAACTCCACAAACCCTGTGGGGTAGATTTAAGTCCCACACACTTGAAATGGTACCATTCCACTTTACAATGTCCTGAATCACATGCAATCATATCATCGAAAGTCTCTGGCTTTCCACAGATACAAACGGTATTGTCTTGAGGCACATTGTTGTTCACTTCTCTGATTTTGCGAGTTAATAGTTCAGGTAAGACAGCAAACAAAAAGAAATCCTTCAACAATGGAAGCACATTCTCACTAAAGAAATGTTCATCTCGCTTAATACGCTCAACATGAATTCCACTTGTGGTCCAACAAACAAAATCACAAAAGTCTACGTTGCACAGTGCCATTTGCCCTTGAACTTGATAAAAATGTTTCGAGGTTATGGCAAGTTGGTTGTTGCACTGCTTTCCTGTAGCTCTTGGAGCATGCGGTTTAAGGTAGAACCCTGGGTCTTTAACAGAACAAGGATGAGTGTTCTTGTATTTGAATGGGCATTTAATTTCAACCAGTCCTTTC